CAGAATTACAAGTATTTATTATTAACTATATTAGTCATATTTATTAATATATATAGAAAAAAATGAGAAACTTTTAACTTACATAATTGTTTATAATCAAATGGAATTCAAATGATGTAATTAATCAGTCTTAAGGTTTTAGAAATTCAAGATCATTATCAAAATAAAATAATATCAAAACCTATTTTACTTTATATAAATTTTTGCATTAGGAAATACTTTATCAATCAATCAAGTTAGATTAAAAAAAAAAAATTTTAAATTGAGTTAGCTTTAAAGAATATTAAATAATATCTTATTTAATATTCTGTGACTAAACGAAAGAAAATTTATCATAATTAAAATGTAAATTAATCCTTATTATTTAATATTGATATAATAATTAAAATCAATATAAAATATCATTTTTATTTTTTATTGGTTTCAATACTAATTATGACAATATTAAACATAAAGATCTTTAATAATATTAGAATAAGAATTGTAATGATAGATTAGTTTAAAAGAAATGCAAAGTTAAGACTTTTTAAGGATTGCTTTAGAAATATAAATATCACCTTAGTTATATCTCAAATTAATTAAAAATAAAAATATTCTATTGATTCATCAAATCATAGCAAATTTCTGAATTTAGTAATATTAATGAACCCATTTGGTTTGTTAATATTTAAAAAATAATAGTTGATTTTTAATTAAACAACATAAATTTTTATAATAGTATAATCTTGATAGATATAGACTGTAATATTTACTTTTATAATTTAGATGGATGTTAAAGAATATTAAATTTTTTTATAGAAATCTGATTATTATTAATTTATGAAAAAGTAAAGGAAATTAAATCTTAGAAATAAAAACGTGGTATTAAATCACAGGCCTTATTTAGTTTTTAATTAAAACATAATGAACTCAAGATTATAATCGCTTTTTATGATTAATAATTGATAGCTAATTCTATGAGGGTTAAGTTAAAGTAATTTGATTTCAAAAATATTATTATAAATTAAGAAATGGAAATTATCTTATAGGATGGTACAATTATTAACATATTTTAGGAAAAATTATATAATTAATGGTTTTCCTAGTTTAAATGCATTCTTTATCTTTTTCAATCGAATAGTATTGGGCAAATAAATGTTTTATGAGATTTTGAAAGATGATATTTTCTTAATACATTTTATTCCTTCTTAATTAAAAAATGATCAAGTTATATTTGTTGATTGTTATTAACATGTGTAGATTGGGAGTTTAAAATCTATTTATAAAAAGAAATTTATATACATATATCTTTAGAGACTTTAACTACTATTATAGATCCAATTTCTTAATATTTAATCACGATTTCTATGGATAGTAGTACGTGATAATTATAAATGGTTACACATTAAGTAATTAGAATTTCAAAACCAATATAGAGAATATATCAAAAATATAAAGTAAATCATCCAAAAATTCAATAATTAGATAATTTCAATAAAAGTATGATTATTATTGTTCTTTCAAATAGAAGTTCTAAATGATCTAATTAATTCTCAAGAAATAAATACTATGAATTTTCATTTATAAGATTAAGAATAGATAATCTTTTCTAACAATGCTTATTAAAAATTATTAAATTAATATTAATTAGTATCACTTATTATAATATATAAAGTCAATATTGAAATTGTATCTAATGATGAAAAAAATATTTGAAACTTGATAGAGAAAATATATAAAGATAAATTTAATTATAATTATTCTTTATTTCTTTTGAAGAGATGGTTCTAAATTAAGTATAAACATTTGATTAAAGATGTTTTTCAAAAGTAAGAATGAATTTTATTTAAAGATTAATTAATCCTTATTTTAAGTATCTGAAGGAATCATAAGTTTAATCGAAATGTATATGAATATATCTTTTGATCTTAAAATGAAATATTTATTAGTAACAACATTACTAAAATAATTAAGTAGTGGTATAAATATCATCTGGAGTCATAAAGACTAGAATGAAAAATTATAAATAACCAAAAGAAAAATAATAAAAGCAAAAGATTTAAGAAATTAAACAACTTGATAGTCTTAAAATACAATTAACCTTCTGAAAGGCCTAATAATAGTTTGACGGTGTAGGTTCATAAGTTTCCTCAATTTTTTCTTTTAGAATATCTCTTTATTATAAGCAATTTTAAATAATCAACGAATTGATATTTTCAACAATCTTTTTCAATAATATCAAACAATTTAATATAACATTCTTCATTTTTATTCTTGTAAGGATAATTAAGATGATAATTTTGATTTAGTTGGTAATTTATAGAAATATCAAGATCTTATGTTATTATAGAATATTAAGTATGATATTTATGATCCAATTGAACAATTTTTAGATACAAGATACAAATTTTTTGGACTCAACTAATTCTTATCTATAAAAATGATAACACAATTAGAATAAAATTAATTAGTATTATTTCCTAATTCAAATATGGATAAAGAATAAGAATTCTAATCCTTTTTTTAAAATAATTATACATCTTCTAATCTTTTGTTACATTTTATGATATACAGTAATTGTAATCTTTATACTTCGAAAGTTATTAGTACATATCAAAAAAATTAGGGAGCTAAAGAAATACAACTTTTAGAATTGGAGGAGTTTTCCATATGCTAAACTATCAATAAGACTATAAATTAGCGTTTATAATACGATCATTTGTAATAGAGAGTGCTTATTTTTACTATTCCTATAAAAATTTAATTCCATTTTTATAGGAATAGTAAAAATAAAGTTTTCATGATATTTTATACTTTTTTTCATAAATACTCTGATTAATTAAAAATTTATGTTTATTTTTATGAATGCTTTTTTTCACTTTCTTATTATTACTTTAATTGGTTATTTATTATATCTAATAAAATAACCAAGATCGATAAATAAAATTTTAAGTTTATCCGACTTAAATTATTATAAAATCATATTAATACCAATTATAACTATTTATATTAATATATATTAGAAAGCTAAAAAGAAATTGATACTTCACAATTTAGAATTTTATTTAAGGAGTAATCTTTTTATGTAGTATCATAGTAATTTTAAGAATAAATTACTTGATCATTAATTTTCTTGATTAGTATCTATTAAATAAAAAACACAGGACAAATATATTCTTCCATATCTAATACCATTAAGTGATTTAGAAAGGGCTTTCTCACATCTTGGTTATAAATTAATTATTAAAGATTTAGCTCAAAACTTAATAACCATTCTAGTAAATTACAAAAGACTTTA